ACAACGTATTTTCTACTACGAATCTTGTTATTTATCGATTGGTTTCTTGTACAATCGTGTTACATTTATCTTGCCAGAAACCCGAACGGTGACGTCTCGTGTCGTTGAGCTCCTCCCACGTCCAGATTTTAGAGCTATCATAACCGTCGATCGGCATTAACGTGTTGGATTAAGCTTACGCATATACGAGTGGACCCGGCATCTGTTGGCAACATTTTTTGGGGTCAACAAAAGTATCGTAGATACTTATACACTTTTATTTTAAAACTTTTATAATTTATTTTAGAATTCATATGAATTTTGAAGACTTCCATTTAAAATAGAATTCACTTGGATTCCCACATAAAAGGTGGAAAATCAATCCCCTATTTTTAAAGAATAAAAAAATAGCCATCTTAATTAAATAAATAAATATCACAAGTACTATCAATTTGTCGAACTTTTACAAAAAATAATCAATGTATTTAAATTTTTATTAAAAATTATTCTTTTATTAATATTTAATTATAAGTTGATCTTTCACATAAAACATTGGATGAAGAAAAAGGAAAAAATATTATAAGAATTTTTAATTACAATTTGATATTTCATTGAAGAAAATGAAGAGAAACAATAAAAAAGAGAAAGGAAAGGAATAGAAAAAGAGAACAAATATAACAAGTAGAAGAAAATTAATAATCATTTCTTTAAGTTTCGTCGAAAATAAGAAGAAAAATAATATTAAAAGGATAAAAATACATATTTTTAAAAAAAAAAATCGTGTATGAAAGTCTCCTAAAATCTTGGGGTGAATGAGAAGCATTTTTTGAAATTTTATTTTTGTAATTTCTATCTAAAAATTAATACTCCAGAAATTTTTACAAAAATCTTTAAAAGTCACTGATAATTTGAGTATCACATGACATATAGAGACTTTTAAAAAATTTTAATTAAATACATTAAGACTTGTTAGAAGCTTATAAAAGTCTCTATTGAATACATCAATAGAGAGATTAATTTACATTGAATACCCCTAAACATTTTAAAATATTGCTATTTGTACATTATCATTTACAGATTTTTTTTATAGATTTGTGAGGTGGCAAAAAGAAAATGGAGGAGTTTTATTTTTTTAGTTGGTTGGTGAAATTTTAAATCAATCATATCTTATCCATTATCTGTTGATAAATAAATATTTAATTCGTGATTTACACGTGCAATCGAACTGTTTGAATCTTAAAAGTCTTTAAAAATCACAGTTTAATACACCACTTAAGAGACATTGAAGGAATGTACACCCTCTTATACATCAAATTCAATGGTCCAGGCTCAGAATTACCAATTCAAGGTTGAAGAAGGATATTCCAAGGTGAAGATCGGGTTCTTGCTTCGAGATTCAACTTGGGTTTTCTATTTTTATTTTCATACAATTTTATGGATTTATGTAATAGAACGTTCAGTCTACCTATTTCAATTATGTAATTCAAAGTTGATGTCGGTAGATAGTAATACAATCTTCAAGAAAACAATACTCTACTTCAATATTATGCCCCCGTTTGGCACCCATTTTTTTCTCATTCTCATTCTTATTTTTTTCTCTTCTTCATTTCAACCACACATTCTATCAATAAAATAATATTACACATAAACCTAAAAATTCTCCTTACTTTTTAACCACATATTCTTCCATCAATCACTATTCAAAAATACATTCTTTCACAAAAATGGGAGTTATTACTTATCACGATACCGTAACGCTTATGATTTTATTCAACTGAATAACGAGAAATGATGCTAAAAATGCAAGAGAAGATTATTGCAACCCTATAATTTGTAGTAACATGGTACTCTTCTCCATCAAAGTTTAGTCTAGTTGAATTCATCTTTACAATACAAAATAGTGGAAAAATGAATGTTTTAATTAGTTTAGTTTTCTTCTGCCTTCTCAACTAATAAATTAAGAATTGGTCATTCTTCATCTAACCATTAAAAGGTTGCAATTTAAGAAATATTATGTTTTCAAAGAAATTGTTAGCATTAAGATCTTCAACTTATTCTTTCTTTTATTGCATTACTTTTAATTGTGCTAAAGGTCCTAATCTTCATTTATTATCACATTGATGTCGCCATTTTTTGTCGTATTTTTATTCTCGACATTTCCTTAATTACTACATCTAGTATTTGATTGTGGTTTATACTCAAAATTATGACAGCGTTTTGCAATGTGGTTCAAATATTCTATCGCGTTTTTATAACTATTACTTCATTTCCTATTTAAAATATGAAACATCAATAAGTCTTTTTACATCCTTATAATACACCGAGATCAATGTTCGAATAAGTTTTTAGAACATTTGGACCAGTTTGGCTCTTAGCATTTCTTCTTACTCCTTGAAAATAAGAAAAATAAACTCTTGTAAGTTCTTAACCTATGGGTATAGGAGTCAATAATAGCATGGTTCAAATTTTAATCTCTTCTTTTTTTGTTACATTAAAAATAAGTGTATAAAAGTGTTTCTTTCGAAGGAGAAAACAATAAGTTTTTCACAATAAAGTAAATGAAAGGGATGATAAGGATCTTTATAAGAATCATGCTACATGTACCAAATTTTTTTATCTAATCTTTTACCTACTACTCACAATGGAGGTTGACACTACATTGTCGAAATTTTTAAATATATGCAGGCCCGCACATTATGTGAGAGGAGATAATCCATTATGTATAAATGGAGTAACCCTCTTTATAAAATCACTATAATTTTTATTATTGGCTACTACCACATTTCACTCCAAGAAGTAATTTAAAAGGGTTAAGGGTGAAAGAATCCAAATTGAATCAAATAAATTAAATTAAATAATAAAAAATATATCTTCTTTTTTCAAAAATAAAATTTGGGAAATAAAAATTAATGAGTAATGTTACACGAACATTTTGGATGACACTTTGGTTGATCGAAGATACACACACATGGGGGTCGGCATTATTTAATTCACGCGGGGCCCATAGTGCAATGTGAGGGTCGATTGACCGAGGTGGTATCAAATTCGGACAAAATGACTTTACTCAAAATTAATTAATGAAAAAGCTCCAAAAATAGGGCTGAAACCCTGAGGTTTTACTGTTTTAGATTATAACTATATATTTCGCGGCCGTCGGTACCAGAGAGATTGAATAGAAAGAGATGGCGGTGTCTGGCGGTCGACGGAATGGAGTTCTCGGCGGAGATGAGGAGGACCCGACTCTCTTTGAGGAAGAAGGCGTCGAGATCGCGGAAGAGGACGATATCGATCATTCCGATATCCCACTCCACCTGCGCCCCTTAGTCGCCGCCACTGAGTCTGGCGACCTCAACGCCCTCCGTCAAGCCATTGGTACTATGTATATGCTATCAAATTTATTATGTACTCTCTTTGAAATTTTCAAACTTCGCGATTTATTCAATATTTTTATCAATTGATTGTTAATTCAGAGTAGGGGATTTAATCATTTTGTTCCTTACTAATGATTTTAAAAAAAGATGAAATTTTCAGGTTAAGCAAATATAAGTATTGTTCAGTGAAATTTTAATTTAGTATATCTAGTCTGAAATTGATTTTCGTTTATAAGTTATGCATGAAGCTTATTGTTATGTTAATTATTTCGTTTTTTACACTGCTATTTATCTTTTTATTTTACTGGTGTCAATTTCATTTATTTTCTATTTTTCTTCACCCTTATCTCTTGACTTTTTGTTGGAGTAGCACGAACCTGTTATGCCAATGAAAGTTAAAATTATGGTTGAGCTTAACTAGTAACTACTCAAATGAATTAAAGATAGTTCTTCAAATGTGGTATTATTCTTGATTCGCTTGAAATTCTTTAGTATAAATACTTTTCTCTTGATGATTGTATGAACTTCGACTTGTGTTTTTTGATAATGTATAAATATAATGGTGCAAAAGCTTTGAGTTTCTCTTGTGGTACTTACTAAAATATACCCTTGAACTTCTTCCTGGTTGTCTGATTACATTGAACATTGGCATGCCTAATACCATAACCTGAACTAATGATGCCCTGAAAAACTTTAATTTAGGGTGCCTTCTTCTACGTGAACAGACCATATTTATATGAATGATTACTCGAACTGGCATTTTTTGGATGAAGACGGTCTTGGTTTAGTGCTTTATGTGCTAAGTGTTAGATCACATATACGTGTGGCGTGCCGATTGACCTGTTGGTTGAAGTAGTGCTTATGGTGGGGAACTGTACCAGTTTGGTCAACCATGTTAGTTTTACAAACATGGAAGCTGTGGTACTCCTTTACACCATTTTTTGTGTCTAAGTTGACATTAGAGAGTTTTTAAAGCTCTTGATGAGTTAACCTGTAATGGTATCTTATGAAAGAATGTCATTTGATGAAAGGATATACATCTTAGCTTGTCACCAAAAAATAAAAAAATAAAAGGTAATGGTGCCTTCAATTTACTGTAGCTTGTTTATCTTTAAATAGGGAAGTTGTGTATCATGATGTCATCTTCGTCTTTGCTAGCTTTTTTACCCTCTTTATCTATACTACCTTGAAGACACATGCTTATCATGTGTGGATTAAAAAATAGGGTTTAAATAGGCAAATTGTTTATCATCTTCATCCTTCTACTAATACATTTGTGAATTTATGGATTTAGATAATTTTGACGGTAGCATTGATGAACCAGTTGAAGATGGGGACACTGTTCTTCACCTTTCCTGTTTGTATGGTCATTTGTCTTGCGTCCAGGTAAAATCATTTGAGTCTACTGATTGACTCACAATTGCTGCTGTTATTTTAATTTGGTCATCTTATTTATCTATTCATGATGTAATGGAACAGAATCTGATAGTACCTTTTTATAATGGCTCATAAATTTGTTATTTGAAGCAGTTTTTACTGGAAAGGGGAGCTAACTTGGAGGCAAAGGATGAAGATGGAGCAATTCCATTGCATGATGCCTGTGCAGGAGGTGGGCTATCAGCTTTCGTAGCTACTTAGCCTGTCATATTCTCTAGAAGTTTTAATGTCCTTTTTTTTTTCCTCTTGAAACAACTCTACAGGATATACAGAAGTTGTCCAACTTCTTCTAAACAGTGCTAATGATCCAGACCGTATCAAGAGAATGCTAGAAACTGTTGATGTGGAAGGTGACACGGTGAGTCCCTGATCATATTCAATTTAGGTTTCTACATTGGATTTTCTTGCCAAAAGAGGTTCTGTCAAACCAAGTACTGTTGTTTTCCAAAAATTGAATGATGTTATTTTTGTATTTGGTTTATTTCTGTAGCCCCTGCACCATGCCGCTAGAGGGGAATACGAGAACGTAATAAGATTGTTACTAGCTTATGGAGCTTCTCCAACTGCAGCAAATACCTATGGGAAGGTTAGCATCTGCCCATCACTAATTGAATCTCAATTTCTATACTATTGGGTTTCTTATCATCTGATGTTGGCAGACTCCGAGTGAGCTCACCGATCCTGGAACAGAAGCTAGGAGAATCTTGGAAGAGGCTTCCAGTGCTGTATCAGTTCATTCATAGATGGGGGAAAAAAAAAAAATCTTTGCTATTGAATGCAAATACAATCAATTAAAATAAGTATTTTTTTTTCTCTCCATATGTGCTGTGAATTCTTATAGGTTTGGTTTCGAATGCATAGAGAAGCATTTAATTAGGTACTAATTGAATTTCAGGCCAAGTTCTTGACGATTGTATCTTACTATGATTTGATTGATAATGCACCATTATTGATCCTAGATTATCTGTTTTGGAACCCTCACCTTTTCTCTTTCCCTTTTTGGCTTGTTCCAGTTAGTAGTTATTCCCAATTGGAGATTAGAACTTAAGGTTGCATATCAATCTGTACCCAAAACTTGCAGATACTTTACTGGCTATTTGTAGATTAAGGTTTGTCGGCTCCGTGAAACAAATGTCAGCTGCATTTTAGCCTTCTGCTCGTAACTGGTTTTAAAGCGATATTGTGATACGTGACTCGTACATATATTGACTTAAGTGCCATTTTATTTCCTTTGCCCAAGAATGAGTATCATGTGTTATTTTCTTGCAAAGAGAGGTCATATTCGGGAGAGGGGGTATGTGATCCATTTGAACATTGGAGTATAGCAATTGCCCTCAGTTTGACAGGGTAGATAAGATTCAACTGGACAAGTTTGCTGCTTGAGCATGTTGCCTAAGCTCAAGAAGTTTACTTCTAAATTTATTTAAAAAATAAAATAAAATCTTCATGTTAGTGATAGGTCGATATTTTGACATTGGTGCAAGTAGTTTTTGATCTAGAAGAAATTAACATATCTAAATATGTTTGAAATAATCAGCGTTTTAAAATATGTGCACTTGCTCGTATGCTAACATCTTGCCTATGGAGTGTGTGTGATTATGTGGTCAACCAATTTCACTGACTGAATACATACGTTTAAACCTCAAAATGTGCACGCATTTGTGTTAAAAGTTGTGTTCAAATTAGCAATGTAAAGTCCAACTTATTTTTGTAACTTAAAAAATCAAATTGAGTCCAACGACCATCAAATTAGCCTACATCGTCCAAGCGCATGAATTATATACCGCGATATGTGGGGTTTTCATGCTTACAAAAATATAAAATCAAAATAATTTTTTCGTAGAACTGCAAACTATCTACACTGAGCTCGAGCCACCTTCAATCTTCCTCTAATTTCAATGTCAAGATCTTCATCGAGTTGTGGAAACTTGAAGGTGCATTTTTTTTTTTCATTTTTGTACTTTTCACCTAATCATTTTTTATCGAGTTGTTGAAACTTCGAGTATAGTATTTATGATTCTGATCAATATGTTTTTTTTTTTAATTTGAAGAATATATATGAAGTTCAAGTACTTGTAGTAATCTTCCTCTAATTTCAACATCTGATCTTCATCGAGTTGTAAAAACTTGAAGGTGCATTTTCATTTATTTATTTATTTTTTCATTTTTGTACTTTTCACCTAATCATTTTTATAGAGTAGAAACTTCGAGTATAGTATTTATGATTTTGATCAATATGTTTTTTTTTTTAATTTGAAGAATATATATAAAGTTCAAGTAATTGTAGTATTCATGATTTTGAGAAATATTTTTGAAAATAAAAAATTGAAGAAAATGTATAAAGTTGAAATAATGCATTATTTTATTTATTAATTTATAATATTTAAAATAATATTAAAATTGAAAATTACATAATTACGCATATGTTTCGCATAAGAACGTATATACTTGTAGTGCTTGATACTTGATCGAAATACATTGAGATGCATTACAAAATTTAGAACCTTGGAAATATTAAATTACTCGAAATAATTCAAGCTTACTCAAACCCAATACTATTGTGACATCTTGACTTTTAAGATGCAATAATTATGGTCCGATCCACCAGAAATAAGATTGATGCTTCATGATCTAATAAATGAATATCAGAAAATAGCCGAAATTAATCAAAAATCAATATAGGGAGAAAACTCTCTTCTATACCTCAATATAAATATAGCAGTATATAGTGTACATCTGTTCATTCAGGGAGGAAAAAAGCTCTTATAAATGGAGGCACGGATAAGTATCGAGTTTAGGTCTACTAATCTTGCAAAGCATTTTGCGGAAAAACCTTTTGAATGAATTGTAAGAAGCGCTGAGAGTAGAATGCAGGGTTGACAGCAGATATGGATACTGAATCGAATTGAATAGATTTATATGTATGTTCAATCTTCTTGCTCACGCTGTACTCTTGAAATATGTCAATAATACCCAAGTATAAGACGACGTCGTACACCTCATGAAACATCTGCATATCGCCTTTCCCAGGGACACGCTCCGCTCTTGCAGGCATATTCACCCCAAGCTGGATTTGGAGTCTGTTGAGCGAAACCAAGTAATGAACAGTTCAATTTATGACCATCAATGGACAGAAGTAGGAAATTAATCTAGATCTCATTTATTTAAGTCAATCTTGAGGGTCCTCATAAATTCATTTGTCTATATCCTCAACTCGTGTTTGGCATGTAACAAATATTATACAGTATAGACAAATATTATACAGTATAGACAAGAAACACGAAGATTTTAGCTTCCTAGTCTTTTTCAATTACCGTATATCTGATTTTATCGAGCATATCGTTATGATTTTGGTTACTTCTCTTTCATAATTAAAATCATGTTTGGGTGTGCTTCTATCTTAAAAAGAAACCATGCTCTCTATTTGCTTAGTCACAACCATCTTCATGTGGTAAAAACGTGCAAGTGATTTTTAGATGTTTGATGAATGCTTTTAATCTTATGGACAAGCTTCATTAACTAAATCAGCAATACTTCAACCTTGTCCTTTAATATGTTTCTAAATTTTAATAAATATGCATTTGTTACCGGAGAATTTAGCTTATGCAGAAGATAAGTTACTTTGAGACACCATTTATATCAATTGGAATGCCAATCAAGGACGAAAATGCAGTGGCTTGTGGCAGAACCTAAACAGAAATCAAAGAAATACCTTGCTGTACCAGGAAGGAGAAGATCCACTTCCTCAACTCCAGATGCAGATGACGCTCTCAATCGGCTACCTCTAATATGAGGGCCAATAACAACACTATTATCATCAGCTCCGCGAGGGACCAAAACAAGGCCTTGTGGAGATATTTCATCCTCCATAGACTCTGAGGTAGTACAATCAGCAGTTGAAAGTAACAAGTTCATTGTCAACCGCGTGGGAATGTAGAATTAGTGATCATGAATAACATATCTAGTTCTACCAAAAAACTAATCGGCAAAAAGATTAAGCCAAATCCCTTTAAAGAAATTTATATCCCGCTAATTAACAGTATGAAACCATTTAAATAAATCAGCAAAGATTAAAATTGTAAATTGACAAAGCTATCCCCAAAATGTGGCGAATTTAGCCAAGTTACTTGAAAGTACCTTTTACGCTTGGCCAAACATGCTCCTAGGAGGCCAACAGTGGTAATTTCTGATATTTTTTTATCAAGATAGTGATCGCTCGCACAATGTGATGGTCTTGGCAACTAAAATATTGCCCTAGACTAGATATTCTTTTAGTACGCTCCATATAAATAATAAGCATATGGAAGGCAACCAAAATATCAGAATTCAAATGCATTCACAATTTTTATGCTCAAGAGAAGTTCAGGTTCACGAGGCTATTAACAACACTATGGAACGTAAAACCAACCTTCTTCTGCAACAATTCCCAATCCATCAACCGACATCCTCTGGCTGTAAGACATAAGAGAGCGTAGGTGTTGGGGTGCTCGATAATGAACACCTAGCAAGAGGCTGTAATCCATTATGTTTTGTGCTTCCAAGAATTTGCTATCTATTTCAATCTGCCTGCATAAAGTAGAAACAATTAGAACACACACACAGAGAAAATGACTTAGCAGCATAGGTTATTTATCTACCATTCATTCAATGTCAAATAAAGTTGAAGAAGAATGGCATCTCGTGTTCTAGTATGGCAAGTTTTCAATCTCGATACATGCTTAGCTGTACAAGTTGGTTAGCCAAGTAGAGATTTTAACCTTTGTCAAAATTTTAGGAGTAAGTAGTAGACTCTCTCTCGATTAGGGGTTTAAAGGACCATGTAATCTCATATTGGTTTCAAACACCTGCCGAATGCTTCTACATATTTTAATAGAACTTCTCTGAACTTCTTTTGCTTCAATCCAATTCCTAACAAATTCCAAGCATGAAAATACAACATTTGGATATTCCTCGAGGCATAGTTACATACAAGTAATAATACTAAAACACGATAAAGAAAACCAAGTAAGACGTTTTGGCAAATAAATATTGCTAACTATGCTACCAAACATGTTAGGGTTGGGTTTAATTGTTCAAAGTTCACACTACCTAATTCTTTGCTTGACCCTTATGAGTTTACAGGTTACGGCAATTGGGTTAATAGGTTATTGCAATTGAGACTTACGGCAGCAATTGGGCATTAAGCTTAATTTGGGTTGGGCAAAAGATTTGTTTTGGCCTCGACTAAGTTTTTAATTTTTAATTTATTTTTTTAACTTTGTTTTTCATTTGGGCTTGTGCTGCCCTGGGCTACAGCTCAGGACCTATATAGTTCAAACTTCTTCCTAACTATTGAGCGGAAGCTTTGAGAAATCTTGAATCCGGGCTCAAAAAAGCAACCAGACGAACACCAACCGAGGCTCTGACCCACAACTTCTACACTCTGGTTGCCACTAGTTTTCTCACCCACAAAGGATGATGGTGGTGTGCGAATGTGTGTTTGCAAGAGAAAGAAAAAAAAAACAGTGGCTGCCGGTTTCTTCAAGATTTCGAGATTAACCTATCCGCCATTTGTTTCTTACATTGACAAGAAAGTCTTCACAGTTAATACAGCGGATTAAAGGAGGAGAAAAACAAAAACAAAGATGAAATCATAGAAATTAAGATATTTCAATTTTATATCTCCATTCTAGATCTAGGCTATATTTACACTTTGGACACTTCCAAAAACAGGTGTAAAGAAGAAAATCCCCCTTTCCCATGGAGACTGAGTAAGGTTCTATATCAGTTCATTTATTAACAAAGTGGAAAACAATGAACATTGAGATTAAGATAGACCGGCTATACGTGATTTGTTGTTAAAGGTCAAGATCTCATCCTTCTAAAGAGGTACAGCATGTTAGAAGTGGGAGGCTAAAAGAAAATTACAGAGTAGCCCATTGCAAAATTAACTGTCACCAAATGACATGGAAGTACCCCACTTACTGTAAGAGGGCATCTCTCCAAGAAGGTTCCAAGTAAAAGCAGTAATTCAAATCCAAATCCTTAAGTATCGTGCTCTCGTCAATTTCAACCTTGTCAGCAGAACGTCCTAATGAAGAACCTTTCAAATCAAATCTTCGATGGATTCTTAATTCTGTGCAGAACATATTCCCCATGACTACGAAACGAAACTGCAAAGTAGGAAGTATTAAATATATATATGTGTGCCTATAATTGAGAGAAACTTACGTTTGATCAAATTTAAAAATGAAATTTCCAGCAAAAAGTTTTTCATTAGAGTGTGGCTCAAATCATCTTTAAAGCGAGGTAATGTGGAACTGTGAGCAAATCTGTTAAGCTGTACTCAACTAGTTTATCTATTAAATTGCACCAATGAGTCCAAGATATAAGAATGTCCTTGACACTAGAAGAAAAAGTTATATTCACCTTGGCCCCCAGATAGAAAAGTAGGATGTGCTACTGATGTAGAACACAAACAAACAAAGCACGAGACTTGTAGAAGATGAGGAAAGAGAGGGGAAGAGGGGTAGATAGAATGGGGAGAGGAATCAGACAAACAAAGAAGCAGACAGAAGAGAGAGAATTATTAGAGAGATGAATATCAGTTTATTCAATAATAAAGTCTAGGTATTACAATGCAAAGACCCTCTTTATACAAGGCTCTAATAGGATCTCCATCAGCTATTGCTATAGGTAGTGGTAGCGTGTGGAATAATTAATCATTTTTTACTTCATTTCGAGAATGAAAGTATGAAGTAGATAATTCAATTAAATTGTTGAATAAAATTTGTCAACAAAAATTTTGGGAAGTGTTGAGGAAATATCACTAGCTGGGAGGTAGGTAAGAATGTTCTGAGCACAGGTGATATTACTGACTGAAAATACTAAAAAAATTTGGCATTCAAAAGAAGTAGCAAGATTTAAAAATGTCGTCATAGTATATCTGTTAACCACAGCAAAATGATCTTCTGAGTTGACATGTGCATTACCTTTTGACCGCTAGAAGGATTAATCCTGTGAAGACCAAAAAATTTAGTTATGAGAGTGTTCTCTTGCGTTTTTACATGATGATGGTAGTCCGGGAGCATCCGCAACAAAACCTACGTGTCAGAACACTCGTAAGTATAAACATCAATTTCTGAAAATGCAGAAGTATGGGCGACAGTAGATCTTAATTAGCTTATTTCACAAATAGCCACTTAAAATTGTGCACTCTCTCGAGAATTATCTGTTTATATCACCTTGATCTCTTTGCATCATACCTTTTACAGTCACAGCCTGAATGACAATTTCGTATTTCCTCAAGTTCTTGTTAACTCATGTTTCCAGAAAAGCTCAAAGTTCCGCATACGTTGTAGTGTTCTAATTATTGGCAATGGTTTAGAATTTTACCAGACTTTTAGCAAATTAAAATCAATTAGAAGCATTTAAATGAAATACAGTTCTTTAGGAACCAGCTATTGGAAAGGCACTCATAGCATACCCCGTAATTTTTATTATTATAAAAGCCTCAATTTTTCTCCATTTCTTCCTTTCAGTGCCCTTTTTAATATCTTATTTTATATAACTCAACCGACCCCAGGGAATCTGAGGCTCTTTAAACAGATGGTTCATGGAAAGAACCATGTCCTGTGCTGGGAAAATTATTTTAACATGTCTTCCATGCTTCAAAGAAAGCAGAATTTAGAAAAAGTTTGCCAACAAAGAAGAAGTTCGAATTTAAAGCAGGACAAAAGAGGTTCAAAAAAATATCAAACCTTAACTTCGAATTTTCGCAATGTCTTGATCATGAAACGGTCATCTTGGGACAGGAAAAAGACACTACCACTTTTCCCAGGGGAAGAAAGTTCCCTGAGGGCATCATTACCACATATGGAAATCATGTAGTCGGCCGCATCAATCTTAAACATCTCTCTCAAATTCCTGCAAGGAAAAAACAAGCCTTTTGAATTTCTGAAAGGATACATATCAAAATCCTCAAAGAATCATCAATACCAAGGCGTGAGAATGATCTTACTGTTACGATCTGGAAGGACAAGGAATGTCAACAACAAAAGAGAAAAAAAAAGTAACAATGAGGCCAAAAGGTGCTTACAATTTGTTTGGACCGAGTAACAAATAATACTGACAGAAACTTTATCCATGTTCCTTTCTACTTGTGCAGATTATTAAGCATACATATAAGTTTTGGTGCATAAATGTGTTAGAGATGCACGATAAGAATGATGATAAACTGTCATCAGAAACAGGATAGCTATATTCATCCGTCACATGTGTGACTTGTGCCTAATCCATGCAGTCACAATAAGACAGTTGGACAGTATCTGTAGATATGAACAATGAATTTGCTCTGTGATTGTTTTTCAACAGCTTGAAGATAAAAGTGAAGAAATAGAGGCACCATCAATAAGTCAAAGCACTTCACAAGCAGACAAGTTTCTCGAAACAACAACTATAGAAGGAAATTGCATCAATTGGAGAGAGAAAACTTCACAGGATATTTATTGACGTCAAAAAGCGGAAGTAACTACTAACCTGAAAACCATTGGGCAATAATCTTTCCACTTGAAATCCTCCGACCGATGAGGAGGTGTCAGTTGTGACCCCTTTTCAGGAAAATTCATCCAAAAGCTGGCACGAGAGCCAAAATCTGCTGCCCGAACTTCTCGTCTATGTATGGGAGTAATTTTCCCAACAGTATATCTGGACACATTCTAATAGCTCTTTAGTAGTAGTTTGGGTAAAAGGTGAGAAAACTATTACTAGGAAAAGGTGAATATAAGGCATATTAACGTGATTACAATTTCAAGAAGCAAATATACATCCTCCCAAGAAATTATATTCACTGACCAACAGACGAACACAATTATATCCATCTACCGAACTGCTGGGCAACATATGCAGGATTTTATAAGAACAAATTAAACAGCAATTTTATCGCTGCAAGCGAAACTTCATAAGTTATCACAGTGGCGAATCCAAGAGTTTGACTTCTCTTTTCTTTCTTTCCTTTTGTGCGTGTGTGTGTGTTTTTTGTGGGGGGTGGGGGCACAAGCTCAAGTCTCAAGAGATATATTTTTGGAGAATTTTTAATGTATAGATAAAATGTCATTTCCTTAATGCTTGTTTAGACTATTTGACATTTGCTAACCAGAAAACCAAGTGAATGTCAAAATATTGTGTATGTGCATGCATGTTCTCTTTTTCTTTTCTTTTTTTCCACGGGGGAATCATATAGCATTGTCTATATACTCACACCAATATAGTGTCATGGATAGCATCTTCACTGAACATCTTGCATAATTTCTCTGTGACAGGATAAATGCATCTTTAGCAATGTAAGTTTCACAACACGACATCTAGTCTTTTCCAGTTCCTTATGCAACTTTTACCTTCTCTAGCCTCCATGCCTTCCTCTTGATATTTTTTTTTTTCATCATATGAGGTAATGATACTTGGTTTCCAGTCAACAGTTATAAGGATCTTGATTTCACAAACCAAAGAGACTTCTCTTTAACAGCAATATGAGCCTTGACGAGTCTCTACACTCGTTGCCTATAGGATGTGAGTTCTGGAGGCTTTAAAATCTCATTACAGCTGCGTTTTGCAAAGATTTAGACGAAGCTTGTTATCTCTGTCATTATTGTACAACCCTTTCCCCCTTTATTTGTGCCATAACTACCCTTTGTATTTAGTTGTGCCATTGTTGCAGCAAGCACTCAATTTAACTCTCCACATGCAAGCAGAAATTACACGTGCAGGAAGTGCTGAAGCTTGTTATTGGTCAAATATCAACTCACTAACTAGAATATAATCCTAGGAGGTCTCTCCACCCATTACCGATATAGTCCTGTCAATTTACCAATGGGTAATCTGGTCTAAATTTTGTATGCCAAAACAGCTGCTCTCCTTTTCCATTAGAGTCTATTATCTTCATTTAACAGCTAATTTTTCATGTAGAAATAGAAAGACTTCCTACTACATGACAAAGAATTTACAAATACAAAAACAAACTTTTGGAGGAGAACATGTATACAGCTCTGTTTTGAGTCAATGATAGTAATCTACTGGAATTTAAATGATATTTTCAAGGAAAAGAAGAAGCATGAACATATGGAAGAATGCACATTCACCAAGAGCCACAGGACCTGGTTAGAATCCATACATTAAAAACAATAAAAAAAATTAAAAACAAAAAATCTGTGAAAATAAAGAAGCAATATGAACTAGTGATGAAAAAGAGTATATACCTGATCCCAAGCTGCAAACTGAGCATCAAATCGTAACTCCTGTGGCCCTTAATGATTTGTTCACCTGGCCTCTTAATCTCCCTTGCAAGTTTTTTTTGCCGCCTTTCTGCTCTTCTAGATGATGGCGAAAATCGATTGCTTAAAACGAGCTCATTGATTAGGACCCCTTGCATGTATTCTCTTTCCAAGATTGGAGAATTGATGTCATCCTCATTATCTTTACGTTCTAAAACAGACTCAGATATGCTCGACTGTGAATCGTGTCCAATGACTTTCTCAATGGATACCTCAAGGCTCCAACGTCTTTCCAGAGATACATTTTCTGGACGGGGCTGTTCTAGATTTAATAGGTTCCCTCTGGAGAGCTTAGATGAATTCCGACGAGAACCTCGGTTCCTGCCAACTTTAATATCTCCCATATCTACCGACGTAGCATGATGAAAATAGGAAACTTGATTCTGTTTTCTCAAATCTGGCAGCAGTCCTTGTTTTCTCAGAGCATTGAGGTATAATTGCTGACCAGCTGGAACCTTGCAGCCTTTTGGATAGAAGGTTCCTTTTCCATCCTTCAGGCCTCGGGTCCAAGTTCCAACGAAGTAGCCACAATCACTCCACGTATATACTCCAAATCCATGCATCATGCCATTTAGCCAGCTTCCTTCATACGAGTCCCCGTTGGTCCAAGTAAGTGTTCCCTTACCTGACATTTTACCTCCCTTCATATTTCCCAAGTACACATTTCCATTAGCCCACACATACTTACCAGGCCCTTCTGGGGTTCCCTGAATCCATGATCCTTCAAAGACATCACCATTGGGATATATTTGATATCCCAAACCATGTTTGAGATTCAACCGCCACCGGCCCCTATAGGACATATTATCAAGTCTAGTATATGTCCCTGTGCCATGCATATAACCACCTGAAAATTCACCTTCATAGAGAGCACCAGATGGCCATTTAAGTTTTCCATACCCATGCCTCATCCCGCATCTCCACTCACCCTCATACTTGCAACCATCAGGCCAGACATAGTTCCCTGAACCCTCAGGTATAATTCCCAGCAGGGATCCAGAATAAGATTCCCCGTTTGGCAGTAAGAACTCTTCGGTTCTAAAGCCAGGGGTCTCGAAAGAAGCATGGGAAACCTCTCCATCCAATTCACTTGAGAGGGTTCTGTCATTATACACTATACTATTGAAAGATCTCGTCTTCTCTGACAAGGAGAGAGCTCTTTCAACATCATCAGCAATGGCCACGGGGCCAGACATGCAAAATGCCGGAAAATTTTCAGTTCCAAACTAAGGAGAAATGCGGAGTTGAAGTTATCATGAGCTAGAAGAGAAGCATTCGGTACAAAACAATCTCCAGAACTCCTCGTCTTCTAACCTGTGAAAGGAGACATTGATCAATAAATATCACCAGTTGTGTCCTCACTTGAAGCGTCATAGATGCTATTATTCAACTCACACTTAATAGTCAGGTGATTTAGAGAGAAACTATTAACCCAGCATGTCATTAGTCTACAAAAAACATCAGTGTCTGTGAACTTAATAAGTTTATCAAAATGCAAGTTAAGAGCATTAAGATCGATAGCATTTAGTTGTTCTCAATGTAACAGTAACAGAGAAGATATCTATTTCAATTCAACTTATCTTCAAATAATGAAATTGCGCCTGTTTCAATTACATAAGACTGTCTCTGAATTTTAAAATTAAACACTTAATTATATCAACAAGTAACCATAATCTTTATTTTTCGAAGATTTGAGTTCCCAAAGGAAATAATAAGTCAGAAAAGAAACAACAAGCACGATAACCATATGATCTTACAACAATTTTTGCTATTCCTTTCTCCTACAAAATTTCAGCGGACAAAACAATGTGCAAACTGTAAAACCTAGATATATATACACATTAGTTAACTATATCTTTAAGCAACAGCAGAAAGGGAAAAAATTCTGGATAATTTGATCAAAAACTAAATAGCAACAAAATTTTGAAAACTTTGATCCAAACTTGAAACTGAAAAATACTACAAAAATTAAACCAATAATCAAGCATCCATATGGTCTGGAGTTTCATCTTCGAGCTTTATTTCCTGAAACAATAATTAACCAATGCACGCATATGTTAATATGCATTTGCAGAGATAGAAAGAATTATACCTAAACAGAGATAGAGCACGAGACTGGTCGAAGAAGAAGGAATGATGTTTTTCCTTTTTTTTTTTTCCAGTAATTTTCAGTTGATTTATTTTGAGATTTGGAATAAGTGAATCCAAATGCCTCAAATCCCGAAACGTAGAAATTGCTTGAAACTGCAAATATCTATCGTCAACTGTACAGGTAAAAACTATACGTTACTGCTGCCAATGACATATTGATCAATATTTTATTCTGGGACCATATATGGAGTCACTTTCAAGAGTGTGACGCGTACTATTTTCATGACTGGAGGACGTATAACCCGGATTTAGATAACGGATAGATTAAATAAAATGTGAAATTAAATGACATATTTAACTCCACCTAACATTTAGCCCCTATTTGTTGTAGATTAAAATCAGATATTTAGTAGATTTTGATAAAAGATGATGTAATGTGTGGTTGAAAAGTTGTGAGTTTCATATAATGTGTAATTAAAATTAATTATTGACTTTTACTTAAAATTAAAATCAGATTTTAATTTGTACCAAATATGGACTTAATATCATATTAACGCTACCTAAATTGGGGTTGTAGTCTCTTTTAAAAATCATGCTATATGTGCAACTATAATTGGCAATTTTTTGTTGATAATGCTCTCGCTTATAAGAAGGGGAAATAACGGAGTATCATTGATAGCATTGGATGCTTGAAAACATTCAAAATTTTCATGCGAGAATTACATTCCGAATGACTTGAACAACAAATCTGTAAAGAAACTTTGGAAATCTTTAGAGAAGAAATACAAAACTAATGATGTTGGAACAAAGAAGTTTATTATCAAGAAGTTCTTGGACTACAAGATGGTAGATTCTAATATGGTCATTGGTCAAGTACAAGAAATTTAAGTTCTTCTTCATGACATTCATGTCGAGAATATGTCTCTAAGTGAATCCTTTCAAGTTGCTATAATTATCGAGAATCTTCCACCCATGTGGAAGGATTTCAAGAATGATCTCAAGTACAAGCGCAAGGAGATGAATATTGAAGAGCTCGTTGTCCGATTGAGAATTGAATAAGACAACAGAAAGTCGAACAAGCGTATTTGAAGTCATATACCACAAGCAAAGACTAATAGGGTAGAAATCAATTATAAGAACAAAAAGAGGAAGCATTCAATAGAATCCTTCAAGCAAGGAAATAACAAGAATGTAAAGAAATTCAAGGAAATTTGTTATAACAATAGAAATGCTGGACATCGTTTAAATGAATGTTGCAAACCAAAAAATCTAGCACAAGCTAATATCACTAAATATAATGCATTATTTGATGGAATGTCAGATATTGACTTGTCGATCGTTGTTTCAAAATGTAACAACATTGAAAATCATGTGGAATGGTAGGTAGCTATGGGTGCTACCCGTCACATTTCTGCTGACAAGGGAATGTTCTTATCCTACACTCCAACTAATTGTGAGAAATTGTTCATGTGAAACTCTTCAATTTCAAAGGTTGAAAGACAAGGCAAAGTAATATTGGAGATGACATCGGGCAAGTAACTCAACCTTAACAATGCACTTCATGTGTCGGATATTCGCAATAACTTAATTTCGAGTTCATTACTTAGCAAGAATAGCTTCAAACTAGTATTTGAATCGGATAAATTTATACTTTCCAAAAATCATATGTATGTAGGCAAAGTTAATTTTTATTAAACTTTAACAAAATATTTAAATGGGTCCTGGTATACAAATTTGGAGAAAAATGGATTGATCATGTTCTATCATCGAGTAGATGAATTTGGTATATTTGGACGTTAAAAGCTATTTCCAAATGAATGAAAAATTAGTAAATGAAGTGGGGTTGGAAAACATGATTTCTAAAATAAAAAATCTGAATTTTCTAGCTCCAACGAGTAGGAAGTCTCTAAAATGGGCACTCGAGCGGGTAGCTAGTACTGACAAGCGATAGATCAACATGTGCAACACTTCGTGAAACATGTTGAGGGTTGTGCCACTTCGTGTGCACCTCCTCGACCTCTATAAATTGGATCCCTATGTGTTGGTTTCATTCACTCACATTCTATGCAATCAAACCATATCATATAACATATTTTTCTTGCCAAAATTCTGCATTACAATCTTGTTTCTTTTTCATTCTAAAAGGAGTACAAAAGCTTCATTTAGTTTGTCATTTCTTGTGTTTTGAAGTGCTCTAAACACAAGAAATTGATTGTTGCATCTTCCGAGAAGATTTCCATAATCCGTAGGCACCTGTGTGTGGCAAATTCATGTTAAAGATAAAGAGTTCAACTTTTACATTGATCTTTTCATTTCATTCTTTTGGTGTTATTCTATCCAAATTTCCATTCATTTTCGGGTAGGTTTAGTTACTACGATAGAAAAATCACTCATTTATGTATTAAAAACAACAATATTAATGTGGTCGATTTCCCTTCTAATGCAATCAGTTTCGCAAGCGATTTTTTTGGAGAATGTGTAGTTAAAAAGTAGAGAAAGTTTTGAGTTCACGTGTAATATATTTTATTTTGTAAATGTGTGATTAAAAATGAGGATAAGAAATAAAAAAAATTATTCTAATGAAAGTCAAAGAGGGGGCTAAATCATAATGACAGAACCTATTTAAATATTGTGTACTAATCTTATCAAAAGTCATTATCATCATAGATTATTGCTCTATATCTTTAGAATGCTGTCAGCAACATACACTTGGCATAATTTTTTATGTTTTAAAGGTTAAAATATTCATGTGATCTGTAGTTACGATTTTTTTTTTTTTTTTATAATATTTCAACCAGTAGGGGCGTGGGGCCATTTGCCATTTGGGCTCCAATTTGAGTGATTTTTCAACTACCTAACGTGTGATTTTTGGCTTTTCCTTTAATTGACTTTGTTCTAAAGAAAAAGAAGAATGAAACTCACATCTGGCACTCCGTTACCACCTCACCGATCAACCGTTCACCCGAATGCATTTGCTGATCATTTGGGTCCCACTAAAAATCTAACGCTACAGAAAGGTCCTTTTGGTTGGGTGATCTGTCATAGTTTTGTTTGAGCACCAATTTTTTCAAGAATATATTATTTTAAAATTCATTTTCAGTCAAACATAAATTTCTTTACTTTTTAACCACACGTCTCCAAAAAATCATTATTCCATAATGCATTTTACCCAAAAATTGAAAATCAAACGGAGGCTTAATTTTAATATTGATACTTGAGTCGGTTCAAGATAGTAATAATGTTTAGTATATTTTAACCATTTAAGCTTTTAAAATGATTTAAGGTTCATTTTGCGACTACTATTTTTGTGTTTTCGGAAGAGCTTTTCGGATAAGCCATATTGAGCAATCTTTCTCTAAAACATTTTCTAACCAGACAAAAAATTTTAAAAAAATTTCGAATTTTTCAAAAGCCCTACCAAACCAAGCCTTAAATATAATTCTTTTTCTTTTTCTTGTAAATCACTTTGGCATGGAAGTTTCGATGCTTGTTTTAATAAAATTATATAGAAATGAGGTGTTGATAAATTGGTAGTAATTATGAATATTACGAAATATGCAATCGAAACTAAAGTTTGACTTTAACCATTAAATTATGTGAAAATTATAATGCTTCCCAATGTGCACTTAGGCTCCTACCCCAACTTTGATAGCTAGGAGGTCTATAAATATCTAGTGTGTGTAGAAGAATACAGCGTAAAGTTTAATGGGGAGAGGGTCGTTTTTTTAAAGTCAGGGAAAACATTCAAATTTATGAAAATTTCGCACATATCACGTCATTGATAAAAATAAACCGAAGTATGTTAAGAAAAAATAAAATAACTTCTTATCTATTATATTTAGGGAAAAATTCACTTTCCCTACTTTATCTTTACCCTATTTCAAAAATAACCAAACAACTTTTACATTTCAAAACACTTGGCATAATTTTTTATGTTTTCAAGGTTAAAATATTCATGTGATCTGTAGTTACGATTTTTTTTATAAATATCTGGTGTGTGTAGAAGAATACAACGTAAAGTTTAATGGGGAGAGGGTCGTTTTTTTAAAGTCAGGGAAAACATTCAAATTTATGAAAATTTCGCACATATCACGTCATTAATAAA